AATGTTTTCAGTTAAAGTTACAGGATAAGAAGTATATCTTAAAGAGCTAAAAACTTTATAATGTGGCAGAGATCACGGGGGCAGAGTTCTGAGTTCATATTTTCTTTCCACATAAGGCTTGGCCAGTGTGTTTGTTCTTGGAGATCCTAATACTCAAACCAAAGAAAATTGGTCCAGGGTGGATAGCTGACCAACTTAAGAATGTGAACGCTTTTTTTTTCCCCCAGGTTTTGACTCATAAGAAACAAACTCAGGACACCAGAACCAAAGGACTGGGTCAAAACGAACAGTGCCATGGAGCTCAAAGTCTCGAGCAAAACCAGATTGCAAAGACATCTTTGAAGCCAAACTTCAAACGGAGCAAAACAGGCAGGTATGCAGAATGCAGATAACAGGCCCCTGTGAGGGAGAGAGGGTGACCAATCCTGCGTGAACTTCCTGCAATTTGAATTATTCACATTCTTTATAACAACACCCTTTTACTTAAGTCAGAATTGGTTTTCTGACTTAAACAACGAAATCCCTAAAACAGAAATCAGTGCCAGGAATAGGATTGTATTAGGCTCTGAGTGAAAAATGTAGAACTGTCTGTGGAGTGGAGGCAGGAGGGGTGGGGTAAAGGCACGGGTGCAGAGATTTCCCAGTCCCATAGAAATCGGGTGGCGTAGAGCTAAGAGGTGGCGAGATACCTAAACAACTGCCTCAAATCTCTTGAGCCCAAGCCTCATGTCACTAAAGCCAAAGCCTCAGATATAAGTTCTCGGATGTTGAAATGTGGGAATGTGTTAATTCCCTATGGACGTAAAAGTTAGTGGCAAGGAATTCTCAGTCCCAGGTTGTTTGGCTAAAAGTAGATTGGAAAAAGCAGGTAATTATGTATCTATATTTCATATTCTTTTCTGCTTAGATTGTTGAAGATAAGATCCAGATATTATTCATTAATTTGGAAAAACTCATGGCTCAAGAGCCTGGCAGTTGAAAGGACGATAGCTAGCAATAGCTAGACTGGTTGAGGAAGCTTAGCCTTTTTCCACAGGATGAGCTTGCCTATCACCCCCACGGTCCCCAATTCCCAATCTCTAGTAAAACATGTCCCTAGACTGGAATGTAACTGTGGAGGGGGCTTTAAGGGTAGACTAGGGAAGAAGTGCTTCCTGTCCTACAGTCCTCTTTCAGGTCACTTTTGCTCCTTTATTCTCTTGAGGACAGAGCCATTAAGAATAATGGGGTCTAAGAAGAGCTGAATAACAAAAATCTTGAAGGAATGGACATTAGGTGGCCTGGTGATGAAGGGAGCAAGCTTACTCCACCCCCTATTTCCCTCAGAAATTCCTGGCATCACCTATCAGTCAGTGACACACTCAAGAAAGACAATGAATGAAAACCCACTAACATACTGGGCAGTTACCGCCAGAACTGCAGTCTTAAGCAGTTATACCAACTCATACCAACACAGTGCATCCTGACCTCTTCTGGAGGCTCCAACTCAAGTAGGAAAGCATGCTGGCACCAGACAATACTTACTGGAGAGAGGAGGACTCTCTAATGTCCTTCTGAAGAGCAGGTCTGAAGGACAGTTGAAAAAGGAAATCCTTCTAATGGCCAGATCCTAGGACTGGCAGGTGTGAGTTAGGAACTTACTTTGCTAAGAGCCAAGAAACAGATTTGGGTTATTTTAGGGGCAGACCAGTGATCAGTATATAATCCTATTTTCTAAGTTTCTTCCCCACCTCTTAAGTCATCCTCCTTTTTTAACTGAACCTTTTTGTTGAGGTTTCTCCTATTGTATTGCTGATGTAATGGTAATAAAACGTGCCAATAAACCCAGAGGCGGTCATTCTGGCAGGATGGTGATTACAAACACCAGATAGCAACTGAAGGGCAGGCATTTGTCACTGCTCCTGTAATACTGGATCACATTAGGCAAGATTATAGACATTAGTGGAAACAGCTCATCCACGTGCAGTTCTTGTGAATGGTTTTAAAGCCCCATTTTTTTTTTTAACCAGGTGATTCCATTTTCAAGGCTTCCACAAACGGTGGCGCAAGGTCGTGTGTACACGGCATATTCCTATGAAGAGGTCCTGCCCCATCGACTGGCCACAACTGAGACCCCTGATCACACTGACATTCAGCCTCTAAAGGACTTAAAGGTAGGAAACACAGAGACAGAAAAGCAAGCGGCGGTCCATGGAACTGTGAGGTTCTACAGAGCTGGGTCCAGAACATGCACCATGAAAGTTCAAAGGTCATGGGGACAGGGCTAACAGGTCACCCGTGTGAGGAAGCAGAAATGAAGAGGCCTTCAGGGAAACCAGTTCACAGAGAGAATAAAACAGATGCATAGGTGATTATGAGTGAGAGAGAAGGAATGAGGAGGAGGAAGACAGAGGGCAAGAGACGGAGAGGGAGAGCAGAGAGCAAGGAGGGCAGAGACAGAGACAAAACTAGACAGAGCCAGAGGCAGATAGAGACACAGCAAAGGAGATGAACAAATCCGCTGGTGACTTTCTGGATGCCACAATGTCGAGCTATACTTCCTGCAATAAATTCCATATTTCTGATCCTTTTTAGTAACTTTGCTTTACAAGCTGTTTTAGGCAGATTTCTGATTCTTACAACCAGATGATTCTTGAGTGAAATATCTGCTCCTTGATTATAGCTGCTTTAAAAATTTTTTTATTTAAGTATAGTGGATTTATAACATTGTGTTCTGGGTGTATAGAATAGTGATCATCTGCACTTTTATATTTCATTATACGTTATTACAAGATAATGGGTCTAGTTTCCCATGCTGTACAGGGAACTTATCCTTATTGCTTCTCTGTTTTACACATAGTAGTTCCCATCTGTTGTTAATCCCATATCCTTAAATTGTCCCTTCTCACATCCCTCTCACCTTTGATAACTGCAGGTTTGTTTTCTAGGTCCATGAGTCTGTTTGTTTTGTATATATTATTTATTTATTTTATATTTCATGTTAGTGATATAAGTATTTGTTTGACTTCACTGAGCATAATATTCTCTAGGTCTACTCATGTTGTTGCAAATGGCAGTTACTCCATTTTCTTAGGGCTAAGTAATATTCCACTGTATATGTACACATCGTCTTCAGCTAATATGTTGATGGGCACCTAGGTTGCTCCATTTCTTGACTATTGTATATAATGCTGCTGTAAATACTAGGGTGCATGTATCTTTTTTGGTGTGTTTTCTCTGGATATATATACCCAGGAGAGGAGTTACAGGATCATATGATAGTTCTAACTGATTTTTAGTTTTTTTAAGGAAGCTCCACAGTACCACACCAATTTACATTCCAAACAACAGTGTATGAAAGTTCTCTTTTCTCCACAGCCTCTCCAGTATTTGTGTTTTTAATGACAGCCATTCTGACGGGCGAGTTATCGCACTGTGGTTCAGATTTGCATTTCACTAATAATTAGTTAAGAAACAACAATGTTGAGTATCTTTTCATGCACCTGTTGGCTATCTGCCTTCTTCAGAAAAATGTCTGTTCAAGTTGCTTACCCATTTTTTGACTGGATATTTTGATGAGTTCTATGAGCAGTTTAGATATTTTGAATATTAACCCCTTGTCAGTCACATCATTTTGCAAATGTCTTCTCCCATTCCATATGTTGTCTTTTTGCTGATGGTTTTCTTTGCTATGCAAAAACTTGTAAGTTTAATTAGGTTCCATCTGTTTGTTTCTGCTTTTATTTTCTTGTATTGGGAGATTGATCCAAGAAAATATTGCTATGACTTATGTTAAAGACTGTTTTGCCTATGTTCTCAGTTTTATGGTTTCATGTCTTATATTTAGGCCTTTTAACCATTTTTATTGTTGTATACTGTATGAGGAAATGTTCCAGTTTCACTTGAAGAGATTGGCTTTTCTCCCCTGTATATTCTTGCCTCCTGTGTCATTGATTAATTGATCATAGGTATGTGGGCACTTAAATGTTTAATTTGCAACTATGGAAATATATGTACTGCCTAATAAAAAACTGGGGCAGTCCAAAGAGGGAAGGCACTCAAGGAAAAGGGACTATGTAAGTTGTAAAATCTTAACTACTTTCCAAAGACTTAGTTTTAGTCAATAGTAATAACATTTACTAGGCACTTCCTTTATGTCAGACAGGTTCAAAAGCTGTACATGCATATCTCACCTATTGTTCATTACAAACATAGGATATATTATCCTAACACTTTACAGATAAGGAAATTAAGGCCCAGCGAGAGATGAAGTAACTTGCTTAAGGTCACATAGTCAATAAGAGGATAAAAGGTATGTGTGTGTGTGCTATGCTCAGTCCTGTCTGACTTTCTGAGACCCCATGAAACTGTAGCCCGCCAGGCTCCTCTGTCCATGGAATTTTCTAGGCAAGAATAGTGGAGTGGGTTGCAATTTCCTTCTCCAGGGGATCTTCCCAACCCAGGGATGGAACCCACCTTTCTTGAGCCTCCTGCCATTGACTGTTGGATTCTTTACCACTGCACCACCTGGGAAGCCCCTAAAAGGTATGATCTATTTATTTAGATTAAATTGACACTTGGAAAAGAATATATGCACTTAAAATTCATTTCAAACTTTATTGAATGCCTATTATGTACAAATTACTGTTTTAAACTAAAACTGGTTAACATCAACATTAAAAATATAAAGTCTTAAACATCACTATTCAAAATAAATCTTCCTTTCTGTGATAAACACACATACACACAAAGATGTACTTTCTAATTAAGGTTTTCAATGTTCAAAATACCTCCTTTAAAACAGAAGGGAATAAATTCCAACAATGCTACTTTCAACGCATTAACTATCTTAAAGTATACTGGAATATTTAAAGACTGCTTGCTACAAAGTGGACTCACATGAAAATAAACCTTGATTTCAGAGGTAAGTCTACTATTAATAAAAACACTGCAATTAATTAAATGGATATGTAAGTTACACACACATATCTAAAAAAATAAATGACAATGAGAGGAGTTTTTCATGGAAGGTGACGTGTCGCCATGGATTCTGTTTCTCTTGATTTTCTGAGCAGAGCTTGTTTGAGGGCACTAATTTTCTCATCAAGTTCAGCCAGTGAATAGTTCTGCTGTAAACAATAACACAAATTGCTGAGTAAGACTTTTGATGCAGGTAAAGTACTAAATATACTATAAATACAGAAAATATCCAAAAACATGGCAAATAACTTTTTTTCTCATGAGAATAATTTTTAAATTGAAGCATATATGTTGACTATGCTATAATTTAAAGACATAAAATAACAAAGCTTAAGTATTTCTTACTTTTGAGTTTCTAATGACTAAGCTATCTTGAACCTTTTGTACTTTGAAAGGGTCAAGTGCCCATTCTCATAATCAACAGTAAAAAAAAAAAAATACATTTTAATTGCTTAAAATAACTGGGAATTCTCTTTTGATACCCAAGGTAGTTAATTGCAGTTAATCAAAAAAAAAATTGACACTCAAATTTCAAAGTTTTACAATTAAAAATAGAAGGGGATCAAGAGTGCCAAAGATATGGAGCTGCCCTCTGCAAACAATCAAAATATACATGTGGAACAACTATCACAGAAAATTCACTGGAAATGGCAGAATTAAACAACCAAAGCTGTGAGAAAGATCTCTACGAAACCAGGTAAGACAGAAAAACCAAACATCAGGTCAAGACTTGTGCCCCTGGGATGGATATGTAAGGAAGAGAAGATTTCCAAGGGAGGAATGCTGGCATTGGGGAGGGAGCAAGCAGGCTAAGCCTAATCTGGGAATTCCAGTCCTGGGGTCCTGCACAGGGGCGGCAAGCCCCCACGCCTGCTGGGAAATCCACTGCGACAGACAGAAGCGCTGGTGAAGCCTAGACTCTATGGGGAGGATCACTTGTGCTGGCTTCCCAATAATCAGGGTGCAGAGAGCCTTGCACTGGCAGATGCTGCCTTGCTAGACCTCAATCTAAAGGGGTGAACACCACCAGCCTTGTTCACTCCATACCACAGCCTGCGAGATCTGGGCCAACCAAACACTGGGAAAAGACTCGGTTCAGCTATGCAGAAACAGAAAAGGGTGCCAAGAGTATGATCGGGGTGGGAAGGAGGTGGCCACTGTCAGAGCACTCAGGAACACAGTGGTTTGTCTCCCAGCATGAGTGCCCCAGCATGTCCACTCCACACTGCAGCTTAGAGTTGAGCTCTGGGCACTAAGAGAAGAGCCACAGAGGAAGTCCAAATCCCAGACAGCAAAGCAGCCACCTCAGTTCCTACAATCCCCATGCTCCAGCCTCCTCCATACCTTTGCACTAGATCTGGGACAAATACAAAAATAAGCCACAATAAAGGAATGAAATTTTGCCATTTGCAACAATACAGATGGACCTGGAGGGTACGATGCTAAGTGGAATAAGTCAGACAGAAAAAGACAACTGCTGTATGATACCACTTATATGTGAAATCTAAGAAAACAAAACTAGTGAATATAACAAAAAAGAAACAGACTTATAGATAAAGAGAACGAACTACCAGTGGGGAGAGGGAAGGTGCAAGACAGGCGCCTCAGGCACAGGCTTCTCTGTATGAAGTAAGCTACACTGATATACTGCACAGTACACGGAATATAACCAATATTTTATAATAACTAAGTGGAGTATAACCTGTAAAAAATAATATAGTAAATACTGAAATGATAATAATGGACAAACAAAATTTTTTAAGATTCAATTAATACAGTAGTACTGTGAACAGGAGTGGACTAAAGTCAACTTTGCCAGACACCTTTTTTGACTTAGATGCTAACTAGTGTCTGCAGAAGGAAAGCGGATGAGATTTAAATTGAACATTTATTATTTTTCAGCATTTTGTAATTGATACTTTCTTCTACAGTTAACATCTGGATAGATTTTAATAGTTATTTGATCCTTCTGCGTCATTCCTTAAAATAACACATTAATTTATGTTGCCCTTTTTTTCCAGTCCTAAATCCCAGGATAGGACCTAAAAGCAACCATAGTAGAAACTTTTATTAATAAGAAGGGTATAAAACTAAACTATTTCAGAAACAAAAATAAAATTATAGTAACTTACTTGAGGTGGTTGAACTTTTCTTCTTTTTCCAGAAAAGTTCTAGATTAAAAGTAAAAAAAAAGTAATCAATACTTAGAAAATCTAAATAATTTTTCTTTATAGAAGAGTGAACAAAATAAGGAGAACCCTGGCAGAAATAAAGCCCACAAACTCACTGAGCACTATCTGTAACTGACACCGGCTTTTTTCTGCTTTGGAAGTTACCCTCCAAAGATGGTATTAAAAGTATAAGTGGTAATGTCAGAACAACATGCTTGTCCCTGGCTATACACAACTATACTTTCGCCATTAATTTCTGCCTTCTACTGAGGCTTAGCGATTGTGGTAAGAGGAGCTCTGTGGATCTTCTACTTAGTTTCCTTTCTTAGAACATTCCTATCCCAGGATATTGAACAGGTGAAGCAGCAACAGTCAGAGGGAAACAGAATGTGGAATCCCCAGCAGCAGGATGAAAACAGTCATACATAGCCCTGACCGACTATAATGGGCGCTGTCTATGTGACTCGGGGGACTCCTGGTTCAGCCCCACTGGTCACCAGTGACCACAAAGGCAAGGGCCCAATTCTGGCCAGCAATTAAGGAGAGGTCAGCTGGGCATTAGGGAAGATCTTCTGGAAAAAACTTCCTCACTTCTAAGAGAAAGCCATCCAGGAGGCAGTTCTTCCGGACACTGCTGTCGTCTGGACAGGACACCAGAAAGCACGGTAGCTATCTTACCATCTGCCAGGGGAAAAAGTCAGCACCAAGTAGAGCTGAGAGGGGAAAGAGCTCAGTTCTTTGACAGTCATGATTTAGCCCAATAAATCAATTTACCCTGAAGACTGCATTACTGTTGAACTTCCCGTGTTATAAGATTATTTCCATACTGTTTAAGTCAGTTTGAGTATAAATTTCTATTACTTGAAGCTAATAACATTTTCACCAACATACTGCTGTGCACTTTTTTAAACCCTGATCTAATAAATTATTGCTTGACTTTGTTCTTAGTTTCACAGACCCACAAGGCCTTGAATGGCAAATTATATTAGTACATTAGTACATCTGACAAAGAAACTGTCAACACAGGCAGTAAAATTTTCTTGTGAACATCTGCAATCACGGAGATTTAAAGCTGTTTTCAAAGAATACTGAGGTATGCCTCTTATCAGTAGTTTCTAGTAAGTGGGAAATGGGTAAGTGTTGGAATAATTAAATATGGAAGTGCCGATATAAACATGCTCCTTCCTTTGCCAACTGAGCCAGGATACTGTGGTGGGGCCTGTGGGCAGGTAAGGGCTTAATGTTTCATTTGGTCACTACTCAGTCTCCGACCTTCCCAAGAGGTGGCTTTTTACACAGAGATGAAAACACACTTCCCCTTGTTTTCCTAACAGCTTAATCTGCAAAATATGGCCAGTTTCCATGTCATTGAGCAATCAGATTAATGTATCATGAAACCAAAGTGAGAAGGATTAGAATAGGACATCAGTGGTTCAATGACTTAAAAGAAACCCATGCTCTGAGGAAACTTAGTGGTAAGGAGACCTCTTTCATGACCAACCCCTTACTTTACTTCTAATCAGCTGTAAAGGGTAACGGATTGTCAAGAGTGACAGGGGGAGTGCCTTAAATGTTTCGTCCCCTCTAGTCCCACTGCCCTGTTTCAGACCTTCATTTCTCCCTGGCGTGGGCAATGATATGCTTCTAAACTTTGACTCCAAACTCTAACGCTCGCTTTCACAATGCCACCAGACAGAAACCCATTCAAGGGTTCTTTCTCAAAAAAATTAACTCAGTGTTCCCTTCTCCCTATGCTTTCCTTTAGAAGCAGGACTTAACCATTACAGACTAGAGTTATGATTCCATCTAATCAGTGCTTTCAAACAAAGTCAACATACCTTTAAAAATCCAATAGTTAACTATTCATTCATTTGCATATTTATGTAATGCCTACTACATTCTGTGTTCAAAGATGAACAAGACAGTTCCTGCCCTTCAGAGGCTGAAAATATAGTGTGAAAAATAGACACGTAAACAAGTAAGTGATAAATGCTATCAAATGAACAAAGTGCTATGGAAATATACTCGTGAAGAATGTTATACGTACTGTTTTCCAGGGTCATAATTTAAAAATCAGTAAGTAATTCTCTGGAAATACTCATAAAGCCTGTATCTTTTAAATGGTCTGTTAAGCAATGCACTCAAAATTTTTAAAACATTACTACATTCAAATTTTTCCAAGTTGAATGTGAAGGGTAAAAATCTTTAGAACTACCACATTAAAAATTTAAACAAATACTAATCTTTGTTGTAATTCCTGCTTTATATACATTAACTTTTTTGGAGTTTTATGTCTGTTTCATAAATGAAAAGAACTTTACATAAGCTAGTTTTTTTTAGGAACCAAATATAATTTATATTGTTTTTCTGTTTCCCTTTTCATATGCTGTGCTGCACGGTTACCCATGATAATCTCTATCCAACCGTGTTTAGGATTTACCTACATGTGAATCTGGATTAGATACATTTCATTTAAAAACTTTTCATAAAATTGATTTCTAACAAAAGTTCAATCTTTAGGAAATTTAATGGGTTCAATTTTCCTTTACTTCCTACCTTTGGAAGCTAGAAGACTGTGCTACATACCTAATCTATTCTTCAACAGTCTACAGAAAAGACATGTAAGTAGAATTATGCAATTGCCATTATGAGTACTCTCAGCAAGAGGAAAGTAAGAGTGGTGAATAATGTGCTATGTCATCTGCAGGGTGTGTATTACTCTCCTCTCACACACAGCTCTAGAGCTGGTTCCATTCTGAGAAAGGAATGCAGCTCCTATAGCTGGGACATTCCTCTGTTATGGAAGGGTGGGTGTGAAATCTTTGCCTTTGAGTCTGTACCATACATATTCAGAGGTCTTAAGGACAAAACCAGTTTGTTTAAACATTTCAGTGTTTTGTGCTTGTAGCTCACTATTAACTTGGATATGTCATTTCAAATACTAATCCAGAAATGACCCCTTAATCAAATATGTTGTTTAATATATTTGGAAAAAAAAATTTTTACAGCACTAGTTTTATTACAAGTGTGACAACCCCACACATATACAGGCCAATCCTGTTTACATTTATAACACTTCCTGCCTCTGAAGTTAGTTTCAGACCTCAGGCCTCTGACAGTCTCAATGTTCTTACCCATTCTATCTATCATGTCTATATTGTCTCTCCCGATTGTATCAAGTGTAAGTCCTACCTTACCTCTTCAAAAGCTTACCTGATACTTCTAACGGCATATCCTGCTGACTCAAAGTCCGCATTTCCTCCCAAAATATCTCCTCCTCCAGATTTTATTTCTACCAATGATAGTAGTATTTTTCCAACCAAAGACTGGACTCATTCTTGCTATACAATCAATTATCAATATTTGCCAACTTTTCTTTCCTTCTGTCAATGGCACTAATCTTTTCTATTCTCGCTGTCATGTCCTTGTTTCAAGATCCATTCACATTTAAGCTAGGATAATACTGTCTTCTTTAGTGTCTCCCTTTTCATATCTTATAGAACAGTATCAGATGAATCTTCTACCATTTGCACAAGTCACATCCCAAAAGTCACAGCTCAAAAATTTCCACAGCATGTAAACCTTAAATTTCTACCTCTTTAACCAAATATTCTATCCTATGTATCAAGAATCCCCCAAAATAAGATTATGATTTGAAGGGGTTGTTCTTTTGTTAATTAAATTTAGTAAGAGATACGTTAAGCTTTTAAAATGCAAATCAGAGAGAAAAAAGATTGAAGGGCCAAGATCCACTGAAGGTATGTAATACTATAACACACTCTTTTAAGATGAGTTCTATTGTTAACAAGAATTATATTAACAAGATATGAAACTGAACTAGAAAAAATAACCTGCCTAAGGATTTCTTAATGAAGGCAGTTTGAATGGGGAAAACTTATTGTGTGTTACTGTAGCAAAAGGCATACAATCTCTATGAAGTTTCCTAGGAAGAGGCTAAGGAAAATCCTCAAGATGGAAAGGCCTTTGCAATTACGTGGAACCACCAACAAATCTCAAATTAGAGGAGAAGGCCAGAGGAGTTGTATGACTTACCCATGTTTATACAGCTACCTCTAAATGGTTTCTGAAATTAAATAAATGCTCATGTTTACTGAGGTTTTACCTTGCGCTACACAGCGTGCTAGATGCCTGACTGGTATTATCTTCTTTAATCCTTGCTTCAGCCCTCAGTACTTTAATCAGCTTCATTTTATAAATTACGGAGCTTTAAAATTCACTGCTCACTTTGGTTATCTGACTTACTTTCTTCATCTGGAAATATTCCTTTTTTGTACTTTACTCTAATACCAATCTGAAACTTTGGAAAGATCACTGTTATTCCTAAAATAATCCTGTTTTCACCAGTGACTTATAATGATCCATGCTAATTGAGTTATTTTACATAATATTTCAGAAATAGGAGTTTTAGTAAATTTCATTAAAAATTTAGTACACTTTTACTTTAGTTTTTTTAATATGGCATTGCTTTAAAACACACACAAAGCCCCAGAAAAGGCAGGTGTTATATGTAATCACCCCAGAAGACGGAGGAGAATAACACAACGAGCCCAGGATCAGTTGTCTGAAACATGCTAATATGACAAAAATACTTCTCAGCACAGATTGTTTTTTAATGTTCTTGGAAAAGGAGAAAAATGAAGACTAGTCTTTCAGAAAGTCTGCAGAGAGAGGGATTAGAGAGGCAGAAGGGATAATGGAGAGTAAGACCCCAGAGGAAGCCTCTGTTTTACAAGACAGCAAGTTCAGAGCAATAGGGCTATTCCTGCTCATTTATTATGCCACAAAAAAATGGCTTAAATTTGAGAATTTGGGTAATGTACCATGACATAACTCTTCAAAAAAATTACGTCCATAATACAACATTAAAAATCTCAATCTTTAAAGAACTAGGTAATTCTTTACTCAGAACTATGTTCATTCATCACTGAACTATTAAAACAGTTTTTTGCACACAGCAGATCTATGAGTGAATTGTTATATGATAAAGACACTTACTACAGATTGAAAATATTCAGGAGAGATGCCTTCCAATTCAAGGATTCTGTCCTCAAGTTTTTTGATTCTCTGATAAATGTCTCTTGGCACTGGACCACCTAAATACATTAAAAGAAACAGATATTATTGGATAATTCTTCTTACAGTTTTATCATTAAAATATCATGCAAAGACACTTAAGCAAAAGAATGGGAACTATTTAAACTTAAGAAAATAAATTAACAGGAATAAAATAAAATGAAATCTTTAGCAAATATTTTCATATTATACACTATGGGATATATTATTGTACCACACTTCTCCCCAAGCCACATTTATGCCTCCTATGTTGCTAGGCATGTTGTTTTATGTTAAGTTCATTTGATAAGATATTTAATAGTTCTATATAGAACAACTTGTATCTCTGACAAACTCTGACACTTAGGAGGAGAAAAATGCATAGTGACAACTGACAATTCAGTGGTTGCGATACGTCATATTTTCAATTTAAACTTCTCCTTACATGCCACTTTTTCTCCTTTAACTCAGAAGAACTTTTTATAAAAAGGAACTTTACCATAATTCTTAACTAATGTTTTAGGGAGGGGATTGGTAAAATTAAGGTTACTGAGATTTATAGGCTATGATTATATCCCAAGTTCTTCCATCCCTCAGCACCACCTCTCCCTGGATTATCATAACCTCCAAATTGGTCTCGTTGATTCTGCCTTGCATGCCTAAAGTCTGTTCACAACACAGCTGCCAATGATCCTTTAAAAATGTAATTCAGATAGTGTTAGTTCTCTGCTCAAAACCTTCCAACACATTTACACCTCACTCACATTAAAAACCAAAACCTTTACAGTAGTTTACAAAGTCTTATACAATTTGGACAGTGTGCGCACATACCATTTCAGCTATTTGATCCCTTTTTTCTGTTATTCAACTGGGCCAAGTACTCTTACAACTTTAGCCCTTGTGGTTCTCTCTACCTCTGTATTCACAAGGCTAGCTCTTGCCAACTTCAGGTCTCGGTGCAACAGTTACTGTATCAGTAAGGCCTTCTCTGACAGCTCTTTAAAAAATACCAGAGCTACCACCTCCCCCTACCCAGCACCCCCTCCCTTATTTTTCTCGTAACCCACTGACATTCTATACATTTTGCTTGTATAGCGCCTGTTTCCCCATGCTGATAATATAAGCTCTAAGAAGGCAAAATGTTTTGTTCTGTTCATTGGGTATGGCTGTGCAGCCTGTGCACTGCACAAACCTAGGAAGCATCAGTTCACAAACTGCACATATACTCAATATGTACTGAATGAATAAATACATTAGATAATCGTCATGCAATTAAGAATATTCACATCCAAAGTATCAACTTGTTACATACAAAAACTCTAGAAATGTGTTTTTTCCTGAAAACTTCTAATTTTTAGGAGCTTGGATTTTCCTGCTCTTGACTAAAGGAAAATGAGTAACTTATTCATCTGACTTTGCTCTGCTGCACCTCTGTACCTTTCAAGAACCACTTCAAGCTTCCCTGGGTCAACAAAGCACTGCCTGAATCTCTTCACAAGGAGGTTCACTGAGCTCCACCATATCCTTCCTTCACAATCCCTTTAACATCCCCTGTCACTGTTAATCTTTCTTCCATAGATTATGGAACTGTGATTACATCATCTTAGTATCCCTCCTGTCTAAAACAGTGCTTTGCATATAGTAGGCATTCAACAGGTACTTCTCAAAATTAGCTACTTGATACTATTAGATTTAATAAACCAGTCAATCCTAGTATACAGTTGCAGTTTAAATTAGTTCTGGGAGAATTAATTCGAATGCTAATCTCTTATCATCCTCAATGGTTTACTCATTCTCTTATTATCTTCTACCTCCATCCACAAATACACCAGTTAGACTGGATTTAGAAATTCCCTGAGCCATATTTTGTGCCTCTGGGCGTAATGATATTTATAAGATAGAACTGACAGGATCTGATGACTAAATGGGGAAGGATACTGAGGCTTTATAGCCAGTTAAGTTCTAGGTTTGATTTCTAGTTTCCACTTACTACATTGGGCATGCTGCTTGAGTTCCCAGAACTTCAGTTTCTTTATCTGACAAGGGTAACAACACCAACACCTCACAAGGTAGTTAAATGTTAAGTGAATTGATATACGTATAATACTTTCAGAGTGTCTGGCACTTAGTAAATGTTAGTCACTTCCCCAATGGCATGTCTTTATTTATATGCTTGTCTTCACTGGAAAATCTTAAAGGACTAGGATCAGACCTTTTAATACTTTGTACCTAGCACAGTGTGTGATAAGAATGAGAGATGGTCATGGTTAAGTCATGAAATTGATGGAAGTGTAAGGGGAGGAAGAGGAACACAACCACATGAACTGTAAATTTCTTAGGAGCAGGGACTATGCTTTCTTCATTTTTCTACTAATCAGAACAATGTTTTGTATATGACAAGCCCTCCATGAAAATTTGGTGAATAAATGAATTGGAATTTCTTTAACCACTTGCAAAGGTACACTACAGGACACTGCCAAGCACTCTGCTTACCTGTTTGCAATCGCAAGTGAGCCTCGATATTCTGTAGTCGTTCTTCTACAGCCTGATTACCACAATCTTGGAGCATGCTGTTAGGTTTATGACCTGACCCTTGAATTCCTTCAGCTCTAGTCTGTGGTCCATATGTATTCACAACTCTAGAAACTAAGTTCAAAAACTTTGAGTCTATTAAATTTACATTTCAAAACTTATAAATTCTCTCTCCCTAATAGTATTTTGTATGTTCTTTTCATATCACAAACCCAAGTAGGAAGAAAGGCAAGATTTTTTTAAATAAATAAAATTTAGATAGGAAAGTGATTTCTATTCCATTTTGCTTATAATTAAGAATAAGCTTCTGTCAATGATGAAACTATATGGTGGATACTTACCTTTTACATGACTTTTAAACCCAGGGTAAGGAGTAAAAATCGCATCAGTTCTTGCACAACTATTTTCTACAAAGAATTTAGAAGCGTGTAAGTTTAAGTATATTCTTAACTTCAAATGTACATTTTGATAACCCTTCAATAATGCATAATCAGAGAACATCTAATCTTATCTAATGTCCAATTTATATATAGAAAAGTCCTCAACATTCAGTTTTTAACAAATACCAACATTCCTAAAGACCATCTGTGTCTTTGGATAAAATAATTTTGTATATTATAGAAAGTTAAAAATGTCTAATCTAAAGAGATATTATTCAGTTTCAACACAGAAATATGCAAAGCTCAGTATTTTTACTGAAATATAAAAAATACAGCATTTGTGACATTGCTTGCTGACCTAATTAGGGAACATCAAATATAAAAGATTATGCACTTAATACATTTGTATTTCAGAATACCACACAAAAAAGACCTTGAAACCTATAACACATACTTTTACACTTGCCTAGATTTTCAATACTCATTTTTTAAAAATCCCTAAACACAAAAGCTAGCTATATCTTTCTAGACTATCCCTTTCAGAAAATGAAATTTTAAGAAGGATACCATGTGAAAATTTGTTGCAAATTTTTCCTAAGCAGAAAAGTATAATTTCTTTCAAGTTAGATATCAACAAATAAATTAGGGGGAAAGCTGGAATTATAAACGTAAAATAATCTTTAAAATGATGTTAAGTAAAACCATGTACTGCAGTAAATTTACTATAAAATTCCCCTTGATTATAATAAAAATGGATGGTAAAGGATACTGAAAGAAAGTTCTTTTCCCAAGGGAATCTGACTTTTAAAAAAATCTATTGTATGTATTTTGGTCGAGAGGTCCTGAAAGGAACACACTACAATACATCTGAATTTTTTCAGTCTAAGTTTCCTTGAGATAGTTCTGCTGACACAAACTGTGGGAATAAAATTCCAAATTTGCTTATCTTTTATATATTGATACCAGACAAGAGTCATTTTCTTTTTCTTTTTGAAACCTCAAAATATGTTTAAAGGGCCATCACCTCTCCATTCTCTTTCTACCATTTCACGGGGCTAAGGGTTTAAAAAAAGAAGCTATCATCCATTCCAGAGCTATATTCCAAATACATAGATTAACTGACCCATTAGAGAGAAATTCAGCATGGTGTGAAGACATTGAATGTATGAGTGCTAGTCACTCTCCACAGCAATTCTTCCCAGCACTGTTTGGAAGCCAGCAAGGGATTGAATGGGCCAAGGAATCCTGCTGAGCATTTCAATTCTTGTCAATTTCTATCCCCTGGCGGTTTATAATAATAGAGTTAGCAGGGAGAACAGAGGAATAACATTAGTGACACATGTGCTTGCTCCCTCAACAAACCCTTTCTCATGGGTTGCTTGCAGTTTGATTGCAGTACCTGAGATTTTGCCACTGCTGCACCTGTTCTAAAAAGCTAACAGTAAAATATATCAAATCTAGAGATACGTGTGTATAATGTTAATAGGAAAGGCTGAATTTAGGACCCACCTTGAGCCTGTTATTACTTCATTATCAAAAGAATCAGTGCACCAATGTGGTATGAGTCAATTCTAGGTTCATCTGACAATTCAGTATTCATAATAATTAGTCAAGAGATATCAGAGGCAACAAGAAAATGCCTCATCCCAATTAGGAACGCTTCTCCATAATTTTTTCTAAGAACTACTTGTTCTGATTATTACTATGATGCCTGAATATGATCTATGCCAGTGCTTTGCCATTCTGTATTCTGCAGCATACCCGCAGATCTGTAAATACACTATAGCATCATGTGAAGAGGAAGGAGATTCTGATGAAAAACAGCAAATGTATGCACAGTATGAAAGAAACGAAAGAAGCATAAGATACCACAGTCTGGATGACAAATTGGTTTTATCATGACATAAAACCTTTCAAACAACTAAGGAGTAGTGAGAAAACTGCTCCCTCTTGAGGAGTATTAACTTTACTAAGTTTAACTTCATGTATTAATATCATAATTTCATAAGTACCCTTAGACTTAAAATTTATATAGCTCAGCTCCTTCTTACTAGTGTGACTGAGCAACCCTGTCATCCATACGTTATCTTCATTTCCTAAAGGAACTTTAAAACAATCTCTTCACCTGTGGTAAACATTGGCCTTTTTACATTAGCATCTGATTTCTGTACAACCAAAATGAAAACAATTTTGCAATATACTCTATTATTAAACAGAAGAAAATTCTGCTGTCTTAGTTTCGAAATAAACCTGTGAAATAATTAAACCGTGTTCTTAATGTTATCCATTTTTTTAAAAAAAGAAAGATCATTAAAATCCTAAAAAAAATTAACTTCTTCTAGGTAGTTACCTTGATTACAGTCAATAACATTGCAAAATTCCCTGACGTTGTTTTCATTGATTTCAGCTTGCTTTCTTTCAATAAATGCAGATATTCGTCTGTCAATCTGCAAACAATAAGTATTTGCATCTTAGTTCAAACATAGTAAAATTTTAAAAAATACTCCCTTGGCCCCCCAAAACCCAACTTCTTACTTCTGCTTTTCCAGCCTTTATCTGAACTACTTCTGGATCAAAATGGATCTGTGTCTTTTTCACATCTCCTGAATCACAGTCTTTGTGCTTTTCTTCCTCTTCCAGGTCTCCAATGGGAAAGTTGGCATTTACTTCATTCTTGTTCCCTGTTTCTGTTTTTCCTATTTCTTCAACAACAGTTGTATTCTCCTCTTTAATCAGAGGCTGAAGTTTTGCTAAAAAAGGCTGAGAAAAACACAATTCCATCTGCTAAGGTTCAAACTGATCAAAATTAATCACATTTACCATATTTATATAAATTTCAGCTAAGTAAAAGCAATATTCAGTATCAATTAACTAAATATAAAAGGTTGGCATCATACATAGATCTGACCACATGTAAGTGTTTTTGCTGTTCTCTAGTATTGTGACCAATATCATTTGCTATAAGTCTATTTAAAGAAAAAAGGAAAGAAGAGAAAGAAAACCTGAGGAAATGTAAAATTTTCTTTGAGGGAATCATCTGTCACTCATCTTTTATTTTGTGCCAAATCAAAGCCTCAGCCTCTGGCACCAATGCCACTTAATTAACATGTCATTCAAATGCCTCCTCAGAACACTAAGGCTTAGTATTTTTCCTCCTTAACACAAGAGCCAGTGCTCTCACTCAGCAAAGCCCTGCATTAGCACTGTATCACTGGAGATTCTCCACTTGAAACTGCAGTTGGCCAAGTGAATGAGAGAGAGCATAGACATGAAATACCTGGGTGTTATGCTGAGTGAACACTCAGGCTTTTCCTGACATGATATCTTCTTGGGTCATGAATTTAAATTTTTAAAAAGAAAATGAACAAAAAAAAAAAAAAAACTACCAAGAGCCATAGCTGAAAGAGGTAGATGCCTACAATACTAGTGGGGAATACAACTCTATTCTATCATGTAAATTATACTACCATCCCCTCCAACACACTCACACAAAATAAAATTAGGCCTCAACTGAGTCCTATAGCTCATTGCTTCCACCCTTCAAAACTATGGTTAACTATTACTTTTAACATGAAACAGTTAAAATTTCCCATAAAGTCATTGAATAGAGGGCTGAAAATTGTCTACTCCACTCATCAAAACACACCAACACTTGTCAAAGTTCCAATTATTTTTTCATACCTATAATTTTGCTTCCGTTGTCTGCTATACCAAAAACGCTTCTGAATCCTTATGATATCTTAATGGCACTAAACTGACCAATCCAAACCTTTATGACACTTCATATTTTATACTTTGATTAGAGATAAACTGTAACCTTGTATCAATTATAACTGCAAATACATTCAGTTGGAAACTAGCAAGGTCCTAATAGTGTTTGGTTATTGAACTGAAATATTAAAAAAATAGCAATACTATTATAGATTAACAATTCAGTGTTGGCTTTTAATATAAAGAATGAATTATTTCAAACTCTTAAGATGATAAAATAGTGACTGGCTACTTACTAATATGAGACATTAATGTCACAGAAATTACTTTCTTTTTAAAAACTATGCTGAAACTGTTTAATTGCAATAGACACTCCAGGATGTGTCATGCTGGGATAATGCCACTTCTTGAACCACTGAAAGCACTCCATGAGCCTCCAAACTCACCCAAGGCATGGAATCATTATCATAGCATGACACACACCTGCCGTGTCTTATTGCTTAATTATAACCCACCATAGATGCAACTGTATTGAATTTTCAGTGCAAGTCTGGAATCGAACAGAATTGCATTCATTCAGTCGTCACACCCACATCAGCCCATTCGGCTATATTCCTGTAACTGTCCTGATCACTATGTAAATTAACAGATTTGGATCCAATCTGGCTGAAGTAACCTTTTATTAATAACAGTATTAATAAGGTGTTAAAACAGAACCTACAAATACTCCAGCATACAATTTAGCTACAATTAATTTCTAGTTTCAATATCGAGTTAACATTCTTAACAAGAAATTTACCTGTAAATATAAAACATGTTGCTCAAGTGCACTAAATAGAAAAGCGGGCTGGAGTGCCGAGAGGCTCTGGAGCTTGTTCCAATCGATTGTAATTTTCACCACATCATCTCTGAGGTTAAGCTTCAAAGGGGCAAACCAGCAATATCACAAAAATTACATGATTAAGCTGTACATATGGGATTGTCACAAAAATAAGACTTCTATAGAATTACATGCCATTTAGCTCAAAGTTCTCAAGTTTTTAATGATACATAAAAGTGCTCTACCTAGTTACCACTCCAAAAAGGCAAGAAAGGTCCAGTTCTCAGAAAAAAGCAGACGACATCTCTAATTCTTTTCTTGGGTCTGTGTAATGGGACCATCTCACAGGTAAAACTATCCAGGAAAGATGAAAAGATGAGGCTTTCTTTTTTGATAATTCAGTATCTAAAAACTTTTGGATGGGGCCAACAAATGCTTGCCCTATTCAAAACCCTACTGTTTCTAGCTAAGAGCATTAAATACAGGGGGAAGATACATTTGTGAAAGTTCTGATTTCATAATTTCTGCATTTCTTTTTGTTAAATATGCACATAAATACATAACAAATATATCATTCCTCTGATGTCTTCCAAATCACATTTTCATTGTTTTCAATTTTAACCAATGTTTAAAAATTTAAAAATCAACTCATACATTCATATTCACATTCATATATATTATAAAGTCTGTGGATACATGGCAGCATGTTTACTTCAAATAAAACTTAAAACTATTATTTAGCTGTGGAAATCTGAAATTTAAAAACAAATATTTTTCCACAATAGTGAAATAAATGGCCAGAGACTAGATGGAAAGGTCAGACTCGCTGCTAAACAGTATTTTCTAGTAAAGTATAAGAGTTCATTATATGAAAATTTCTCATAAATTGGCTATGTATGGCCTATTACAATAAAATTATATATAGAAAACTACCACAAACCTGAATATAAAATTAATATCAAGAGGAGTAAACATTTTAGAGGGAAAGCCTCCATCTTTAGTATTTCAAGTGAATAAAAGTGAATCACTGTAAACATTTTTAGGGACACGTGTTATGGCATATATCCTGCATCACAGGATCAAGTTAACTCTTATTTTTTCAGAAATCATTTATTTAAAATTAGTCATGTTTTATACAAAATAAGGACAAGTGTTCTATTAGTTAAGATCTTTTTTTTTTTAATTTATTTATTTATTTATTTTTTTATCACAACCATAGTAGTTAAGATCTTATGAACTGTGATTATAATAAAACAAAAAAATGAATCACTGTACCGAAAGAGATCCAAAGTTCCCCAAAAGGCACTATACGAATGAATGCTGTATGACAGAAATTTACCACCCTTTGACCAGAAATATTTAAAGTCCATATTAGACAAGTGTAAAGAAAGAAGTTTTGTGTAGGATGCACTGGCAAAAATTAGTTTGTTATTTTAACTTAGGTTTTATATTAAGATAACCATATTAATCTTAATTTCTATTTTTTAATGCTTATAAAGGTTTCCTTAGACAACAACTTAGGCATGGAAGTAACCCATCACTGTACTTTTACAGTTCTGAAAGAATCTATAGTTGATTGTAACAAATTTACGAATACAGTTTGGGGATAATGCAGGCAAATCTTCAACCAAAGCAAAGCATAAAATTTTCTAGAGAAAATAACTTACAGAAATTAAATCGAATGTCTGGATCATATTCTCATTTCAATTTAGCAGAATTACGTAAGCTTTCAAGTGCAAGGTATTTGGTCTTTGAAGAAACCACGTAACAATGTCACAAATTAACTTTAAAACTATCCCCAACACATCCAACTATTATTCAACAAATTCCATATTAGTAATATATGAATTCTGTGCATTTTTACCTATAGAACTTGTAAACCATTCAGTCAAAAAGGTATTAGTCTGTCATTAATACGGACTATTTAAAATACACATTTCAGTAAAAACATTATTACATTAATATAAAAATCCAAGTTAACAATAAATATTTCTTCAGCTTGGTAAAACGCAGCAACCAGAGGCAAAATCAGTATTCAATAAATTCAAAGTCTGGGCTAGAAAAAAATTTTTTTAACATCTGATTTTATGTTTCCTATTGAGGAGAGCTAATAACACAATGATACTACATAGAAGGAACTAGTCATTTTACAACATAGATTTTTAAAAATTCCTTAATCTTGTTTCAAAAGGAAATAGTTATTTCCACCAGGAACAATTTTGTAAGTATAGTACTCTGGCTTTCATTATCTTTAACAGTACATCTCAAATAAAGAGTATCACCAAATTGGCTAGCATTTAATTGATGAGACAATCTTATTTAGTCTTATTTATGGTCCCCTTACTCTGTCATGAAAACTAACCAAATATTTACTCTAAATATTTTTGACAGGTGACGTAAGTAAATTTTAACCATATCACTATTTTTACCTACAGAAAGTCAGAATGTTTAAAAATTTTAAATGAGTTTTAAAAATTCAGTATGCAAACTATTTCAAAAGATAGGTTTAATGTTTTTAAAAAGTATCTCATCAGTGGTGGTGAGGGGTACTTTTGTAAACTATAGGTGAGTATAAACTTTTTTCATCTTGATATGTCCATGACATAGAAAGTTCTCAAACTTTTAAACCATTTAGTAGGTTTTGAGTCTTCAGACTGAAATGATTACCCTAAGTCTTAAAAAATAAATAAAGTTCTAAGTCCTTGACAAACTAATGAGTTTAAAAGTTATAACTTTTAGCTGTCTCTATTAATAAGCATCCCATTACTCCAAAATGAATGTTTAACTAATACCAATGCTCTTTGTAAGTCAGGACAAACACTGAAATTTTTTAAAATACTGAAATAACCTTTTAAAAGACTGATTCACCATCTACCCAAGGCTTTTAAAAATAATTTTCACAAATCAAACGCTCTATTTTCATAAAGGAAGTTACCGTTATCTTCAACACAAATGCCTAAGTCTAAGATTTTTATTTTTAAAGATTTCTTTTTGAAAGCAGATAAACGTATTTTCAAGCTGTTTCTCATTTAAAATTTGCTTTGCATTAACATCAGTAAACAGTGCCTTCAGCGTAAGGAGTACCTTTACTTAAGCTCCATTTTATTATGACATTTCTACAAAAGCTATTTACCAGCCAGTTAAACTAATAAATAGTTGAATTACGAGTTAAACAAGTTGTGATACAAGCTGTGCCGACCAAGAGTAACTCAGTCAACTTGACGCTAGAAACAGTTTAGGTTAATTCTTCTTTTCCCACTCGTTTTAAAAGGGAAGAGACGCAAGCTACGGCCAGAAGGAAAAAAGTAAACAAAGGCAAGTGACTCATAAGAGCAAATCACCCTAAAGAGGCGGAGAGAGCGCTTGTCCAGAAATCTCAGGCCCTGCGAACCTATCAATTTCTACAATGAATGAACTGGAAGAAAAACGATCCAGAGGCTCCAGGCGCCTCCCAAACCATCAGAGAAGCTCTTCCGTATCCATTCTCTCTCTTCAGGCCTGTTTCTTACCGAGCCGCGTTTTCACTTACGCTAGCCTCATTCACTCTTGGTGAGAAGAGCTGCAAATCTAGCCTGTCACCGGTCATGATCTAACCCGCGCGGCCATCCTCACTCAGCCCACAGGCTACCCGGCCCACGCTCCTCCCCCGGCCTCTGCGACTCCAGCGGGGTCCAACACCCTGCAGGCCTCCGGTGCCCCCTGCCTCCGTTCAAGGGAAGATGGGGGGAGGGGCAGGCTGGTTCCCAGACCCCTACTCCCACAGCACATCACTCACTTGTCCAGCCAGGCTTTGCAAGGAGCGAAAGACTTCACAGACTATGTCTCGGGAAAGGTTGGGGCTGCAGCTCCGCTCCAGGCTCCTGTCACCGATGGTCGGGCGACTAAGCTCGGCGGCAGCAGCCATGACACTTTCTGAGGCTGCCCCCGCCAACACCAAAGTGCGCTCACAACCCACCCCTCCCTTGATCGCTTTTGTCGCTCCGCGATGATGTCAAAGCACTGCGTCGCCTTTAGACCAAGGCTTTGAGGACCACTGTGTGACTGACAAGCACCTGCACCAATCAGGTTCCTCTGAGGACCGCGAGCGGATGATTGCCGACCTACGTGAGGCTGGCCACGGTATTTCCACTGGAGATTGGAATCGGTATTCAAAGAGGGTTAGCTTCGTGACGTCTACCTTGACTCCGAAGTTAGTTATGAGTATTGCTAGAGAAAACTTATAGTTAAATGTTAGTGGTTTAGTCCCATATTAAAAGTTAAAATTTTAACACAGCCCTGTGGAGTGATCTGGAGAAAGACCGCTCATCAGCGGTCAAAGACCGCTCAAACAGCTCTGCCAACGCTTGTTTGTAAATATTGAGAACTTTTTCACATAGAATTGTCATACTGGATAGCATATTTTCATCCGTATTCAAATTAACATCACTAATTTTTCATTAGAGGAAGAAGATATAAAACAAAAAATGTTTATGCCTCATTTACTATCAAGGGAATGTTATTAAATCTGCAAAGTAATTCTGTCGTTTTAAAACTGATGAATCAGTTCTTTTTCTCTGGGTAATACGATAGAGACACTCATCCTAAAACTGTTTCCATAAAGGGAAACACTGTCAAGATGATCCCAACAGGAATTTATCCCAAGTAAGCAATCGCATGCAACACAATCTCTGAAATAGAAGATAAAAATCCGAATTGAAAATTGACGAAATATTACTTACCAGATAACTTTGGTAAAAGATGCTTGGTTTGTAGTATTACAGAGTCTAACATTAAAAATTCTGTCCTGTGCAATTGAAGAAAAAAGTTTAGAAACTTTTTAGTGTTAAAATCTATTCATAAATCTATTCATATTGTTCACACTTGAACAATAAACAGCGTCAGTTTAGAGATAAGGGAGGAAGGATTTAATGTTCTAATAATCTAATGCCTTTAGAAGAAGCAGAGGTGGAAACTTGCACAAAATGTATTCTTCAGTTTTAGAGTAGTCTGAAGGAAAGGAATAAGGCACCAAGGAACTGGGATTAAGAGCAATAGGGATTAAAAAAAAAGCCTTTGACTCTCCCTAGCTCTTAATTAGACTTTCATTTTCAAAGATCATCAGGCTTGATAGAATCTTCAGTAATCTTGTCTGGTCCCTGTTCACAGCAAGATATACAGTTTATAATCCAGCCTGTGTCTAGAGATGTCAAATAAAAAGATCTAATCCAAAATTAAGCAACCTTCTCATTCAAGCCACTCATTCTCATATATAACCTAAATTCACGATTCTCTGCAATGTTAGCATGTTTCCTCTGCCTTTGGTTCTCTTATTCTCTAATAATTCTAATGAGGTAACTAGAAGTTTTTGTTTGGTAACATATTAGCAACCAATTTCAGATCATTTGTTTTCATCTAGATGTGAGGTCTTTCTTTTATTCCCCCAATATTCAGGACACTGGTATGAAACAGATTTGGGAACTTGATTTGTATAAGAATACCATCTTTAATAAGATACTGCTCATCCTTTTCTTTGCCATCACTGATATTGAAATTTCAGGTTTTACTTTTTCCCTTGAACCTCTGATATAGAATTGATTGATGGCCATTGGATCTGTATATAAATTCTCTATTTCAATACGTAGACTTCCACTTATAGTATTGATTACTTAACTAATACTTGAAAATTAACTCTCTTGTGCATTATTTCTTCTTTCCAGGGACTTTTCTTACTCCTTCCTGAAGCCTGTTATCAGGAGGCTTCTTGAAGCCTACTATCCTGAAGCTATTCCTGAAGCTCAGTATATATATATGCTTGTTGAGTTGAATTTATTTGCCTAAGTTGAACAGATTTGTAAAATGGAAAAACAAAAGCTCCTACTCTTGAGGGGAAATTGTACAACATAGTAAAAATGCTATAAACCATTCATTTCAAATAATGAAGCATGTCTGTTCATTCTCCCCTGGAACAGCAAATTCAAAGTGCTCAAATTTTCTTTAATGAATAAGCTAGCCTCCATAACCTTCTCATGAATGACACCCATAAAATTAATTGTACCAACTGTATGCCAGGGACTCTGACCAGGTTTGAAGGTACAAAGATGAATCAGGCAAGGACTGTCTCTCAAAAAGTTCCAGTTCTCATGGGTGAGGCATATATGTAAACAAACAACTATGATATAATGTTACAACAATCATATTGGAGGTATGTATAAAGCAAAACACCAATTAGAGGTGTTTGGATTCATTATCAGGAAGAGCTTTAAATGCTTGATATAAAGCATGGATTTTGAGGCTCGAATGATGAGTACAAATTCTCAATTTAGGAAAATAGTAGCAGCAACTTTAACATGCCATGATATGTTTAGGGAGGATACACTGAATAGAGAAGCATGGTGAAGCCAGAATTTCACAAAGTTTGCTCTGCTGAATACCAGTCCTATAAGATGCTTCTTTTCAACAGAAGTTTCCATGATCAAAGAAGTTGGAGTAAAGTTGACTGTGTTGCCATAGCATGCAACAGATCACAACATTTCACTTTCTATTAGCAAGGAGCTCAGCACTACAATCAAGTCCAAGGACACAACTAAACCAATTTCAAAATTCCAGCTTTGAGGATTGGTTTACTGGGACTTCCCATACTGATTTGTGATTCATTCAAGGTTAAGAAAACATACTGCTACTTCAACAGAGAAAATTTTAATAGAAATTGTTACATATGATAATTAACTGAAAAGATAACAAGAAAACAATAATCTATCACACTATTAGGAAATTCAGGAAATAGCTAACCTCTCTAGAGCTATGGGAACAAAGGGAAAAGTCTGAAATTATTAAAATTTAGGAGCTTAGAGGTACATCCCTGTGGAGTACCTCAGAGAAGAGGGTGCTGCTCAGCTTGGATTGGTGACTTAAGGATGGCATGATGAGGCCGATTTTGCAAGTTTTTAAAACTGAAAATAGAGCATCCAGCCACTGTAGAACAATATCATGCAGTCTAATATACATGATATTGGAACCCCTACAGAAGAATAGAGACTGGGGCAAAAGAAACATTTCAAAAGATGATGACCAAGAAATTTCCAAAACCAGTGAAAGTATCAAACCACTATAGTGAAAGCATCAGATCCAGGAAACCCTGAGAATTCCACTATTATATACTGCTACTTAACAAATATCCCCAAATTTAGTGACTTAAAACAACAAATATATCTTATCACCAAAATTCTACATGAGAAATTCAGGAGTGACATTGCATGGTGGTTCTGTCACCCACTTTGGAGAAAGACAGCAAGAGAGAAGTCACAATGACTTTAGGATGGACTCAAGTCACAGGCTTCCCTGGTGGTTCAGTGGTAGAGAATTTGCCTGCCAAGCAGGAGATGTGGGTTCGATCCCTGGGTTGGGAAGATCACCTAGAGAAGGAAATGGCAACCCACTCCAGTATTCCTGCCTGGGAAATCCCATGGACAGAGGAGACTGGTGGGCTACAGTCCATGGGGTCTCAAAAGAGTCAGACACAATGAAGCAACTAAACAGCAACAGCAGCTCTCAAGTCACACACTTTCATTTCTATCCGATTCTACTTGTTAGTAGCAAGTTACTATGTGTGGCCCATACCCAAGAAGAAGGAAATTAGGCTCCAAATCTCCATTTCAAAGTTGAGGGAGAAATAAAGAAATTTTTTTAAGGTAAACATAATGAAGATAATTCACTATGGCAGACCTGCACTATAAGAAATGTTAAAGGAAATTTTTAGGCAAAAGGACTATGACAGCAGAAAAATATTGGTATCTACACAACAAAATGAATATGTTAAAAAATGGTTAAAATAAAGTGATATGAGACATTTTTATTTGTTCTGAAGATAATTAACTGTATAAAGTAAAAACAGTAGCATATTATTGTGGGTTTATAGCATACATAAAGGAAATGTGTGACCAAAGATAGCACAAAAGTTGGGAGGGAGGTATTGTAAATATACAGTTGTAAGATTTTTACCTTGCACATGAAGCAGAGTAATATTTGAAGGTAGACTATGATAAATTAAAGATGCAAATTATAAACCCTAGGTTAACTAACAAAGTATTTTAAAAAATAAGTATAAATAATAAGCTAATAATGGAGATTGGAAGGAAACATAAAAATATTTAATGAGAAAATAAGGTAATAGATTGTAATCCAACAATATCAATAATTAAATGTGAATGATCTAAACACAGATTTAAAGACTGATTAAAAATTAATATCTAACTATATGCCGACTAAAGGAAACCCACTTTAAATATAAAGACAGAGACAGCTTAAAAGTTAAAGATAGAAAAATATATACTATGCAAGTACCAATAGAAATAAATCCATCCATTCTCCATCAGCAATTCACCTGCATAGTATGCCCTTGTTCTTTTCCTAATAACTGCAACCTATCCAAAATCCAAAAACCAAATATTTCACTCTAACAGACACTTTATATATTTCCACTATACTGCCTCTATTGCCTTAATTCCAGCAATCCTCTATACCCACAAAAGAGAAATAAAGCCAGAAGGACTATTTTAACATCAGACAGTGCGGATATCACAAGAGCAGCTGCTGCTGCTGCTTAGTCCCTAAGTTGTGTCCAGGTCTTTGCAACTCCATGGACTGTACCCCCCAGGCTCCTCTGTCCGTGGGATTCTCCAGGCAAGAATACTGGAGTGGGTGCCATTTCCTTCTCCAGGAGATCTTTCCCACCCAGGAATCAAACCCACATCTCCTGTTTGATAGGCAGATTCTTTACCACTGAGCCACCCCGGAAGCCCACAAGAGCAGTATGTAATGTTGAAAGGGTCAGTTCATCAAAAAGACTTTTAACAATATTGTTTGTTTGTACACTAAAAACAAACCTTGAAAATATTTGAGGCAAAAACAGGACTGAAAGGAGAAAGG